GCAAACATCTCTGAAATAATTCACTTCCTACTCAAGGTGGTTTTGTGAGTGGGGTGTTTGTGTATCTTCTTATTAAATTCAAATATGTATTCAAAAATTAATGAGCATAAGCCTTGAACGCCAAGTATTTACGCCCCTGAATAAGGGAAATAAATCTAAAATGAGGTACTGAATTTCATTTGTACAATATAGCATTAAATGAAAACAAGGCTATTAAATGAAAACAAGGTTATTTTAAGCTTAGCTTGTGTTGAAAAAGATAAGGAAAGTTTATTCACTGCTGTAAATGCAATAATTCTCCCAGCCTTAGATATTTCAGTATGCAGCTTCAAATAGGGTTAAATGGCTGATTCTTAAATCTGTATTGGATTACAACCTTATCAGATGATTTGGGTAGCATTGAAGCATGCAAATAGAATAAGAATTGTATGTTATCAGTTTGTGTTTATTTTGTGATGTCCCTTTTTTGCCACTCCACCAGTAGGAGCTAATGAAATTAAATGTTAGTAGTGTTGCTTATCCATAATTCTATCATCCTTAATTTTACATTTCAGTTGTGACTAAAAAGAGGGCAGGTCATGGTATCTGAAATAAAATGTTTGTGAACTTTTGGGGGTGGCAGTGGCCTTTTGGGGGGTGGGTGGGGTTACATTATGCAAAATAGCAGTGGCTGTCAGATATTATCTTTTTCATATCTTATTATTTGGAGTTTAATTATTTTCTGTTGCTAGGCAGGAATGAAAAATATGAATAATGTATAGAGACATGTATCATCAGAATATCACAATTTGAGTTAAGAAATGCCTATCTTCAGCAAAAGTCCTATAATCACATAACACATAACTCTATTTGCTTGGTTATTATGGAAAACAAGAACTGTTTAAATTTTTAAGTTGAAACCATCGTATCTAATAAATGGAAGAATATATTGGACCAAACATTGAAGGACATTGCTAAATGGATGTCTATTTATGAATTCCCTCAGTGCTGACTGCCTGAGAGAATTATGGAAAACTCATTTAGAAAGTGTATCTGTCCTTATGAAGAGAAGTATTGAAATACATGAAAAGGAGAGTGACAAGACTTACTTGTGTTCTGCTCACTGATTTGTGACAGTCATCAAAATAGAAACTGGTTTAGGAGAACTGCAAATTCTGGGATATTTTTTTGAAAATTGTAGTGGCGCCTGAGGGAATGTCAGAGGTGCATCTGTGGAGCTGTCATCCCTTCTATGACACAACTAATATTTATTTCATTTAGATTTTTATATTTATTTAATATAGAAAGTTATGTCATTTAATTCTTGATATATATGTAATATTTATTAAGGATTTTGATTATAATAGTAAAATCTGATACAGACTAAACTTAATGGTTTAAGGCAAGAAAGAGAAAATAGAAAGGAATAAAAAGTGTAACAAAAAGAGAAGAAAAAGTAAGAATATATTAAAGAAAAAAGAAATATATAAAGTGACTTCCAACTTTTGTCACGTATAAACAGATTTAGTGTAAACTCTTCACCGCTTCTAAGATTACAGATGTTTATCTCTTTGTCCCATATCTGTTATCCTTAAATATGTTTTACTTTTGATCAAATAAACCAACTTTATATTACTTTTACTTATAATAGTCTTAATGTGTAGTTCATACAAATATTGTCATAGAGTTTGATTTCTCTTCATTTCTTCTTTGTCCCATTGCCAAAATTCTCCAAGGCTTTAACAATCCAATAGGAAAATCCAATAGCAAAAATGATTCAGGTTACTCTCTTGGTTTGTCATTTGTGTTTTCCTTTTAAAATTTAAAAGCTTAAGTACTTTATTTTATAGATCAAGTGAAACTTCCTTTTGTGAGTCATTCTCTTGGCTTGTCAGTTGTAAACACGTTCAATACCATTTGCTTTCATCCGATAAAATGTGTTCTACATCTGTTATTTCTTCAGTAACATCTTTTGGACATAGACATCATTATTGACATTGTTGATACTGTGACTACTATTTTCCGATTCAAAATTCTCCTTCAGTATTTTTATTGTTGCATTGTTTTGCAACATTTTACAGGTTTGTAAGTCTTTCCTCTGTGTAAAAACTTTAATTCCCTCTTGTATCCACTTTTTGAAATCATGAAATTGCTTAACTTCCTTTTGTCTTGTATAACCAAATCACTATATTTTCCACGAGAAGTTGTTTATTCTTTATAATTCCTTCCAAACATATACAAATATTTCAATATTCCAAATTTATCTGAACCCTTTGTTTACCTCTTTCTAAGATCAAAATCTTACTTAGCTGTTTGCTGTTTATTTCAGATTCTTTAAATTCTTAAATTTATGATTAAATTTTTCTTTTGTTCAAGATTGAAAGCACATTCACTTGGCATTTTTTAATTAGCTGAGAAGTAATTAATGAGCAATTTCTGAAAGTGATTAGAAAGTGAGGCTTGTGAACCTAGTGCCCTTTAAAAGTCTCCATCATGGAAGTTCCCATCAATCGATTATAATTGAATGTTCCTGAAACTTGTGATTCACAGTTGAACTGATTCTATCATATTTGATTATAGTACTTTGGTAAATGAGGCTAGAAACAAGTTTTACTTTGAAGAGATATTAAAACTTTATTGTCTGTAGAAAAGGAAAAAATATTATTTTACTATACCTTTTTGTGTTTGTTTTAATATCTTTACGTATTTATTGGTCATTTTCATAAGTAATATATTTAGAAATGTATCTTTACGACTTACTTTGACTTAATCATAAGATGTCAATTTAAATCACTGTTCAAGAAGGCTCCATTTAAAGTGTATGGCTAAATGACTATGGTGATTCTTGGTCATGCAGATTATGGTTGTGCCATGGTTGTCAACTGTATAATCTGACATAATAAAAGAACTAATCCAAAGTGGCTTTTTAGTAAGAGATGGACATGGTGCTGGATAGCCTTCTGTTGTGAATGCTGACGTTGCTTTTTCAACTGGACTTTCTGGTTTTTCTTTGAAGACAGTCTGCAAGGAGCATAAATCCTTCCGTTCTTCACCATCCAGTCAGAGCTGAAGAAGCTTCTTGGATGAGAAGAAAAACCAGAAAGTCCGGTTGCCTCTTGAAATAGCACCTGGATGACTGAGAATCATGACCTGGATGACTGAGAATCTCCATAGACACTTTTACCCAGAGATTTGATTCGAGTGCCAGAGCTGAACAGCACAAATGGATCCTTCCATACTCTACCCGACTCTGTAGTTTCTTCCCCAAACCCCAAAAACTTTAACCTTAGACTGTCTACTATTGACCTCACCCCTTTCCTAAGAGGTCTGTAGGGGGCGTGCATAAGCGCACCAACGTGCCTACCGTCCCTGTCCTATTGTTTCTTTTATTTTTCTTTTATTTTTCTTATACGTACTCATTTCATGTATTCATAATTATGTATACACTTTTACTTATCTCGTAAACAATTGACAAATAAAATAAATAAATAAATAAAGAAGCATTTGGAAACGGACAGTTTCCCCTGATTTCCCAAATTCAAATACATAACTCTGTCAAGCTGTCAACTGTATAATCTGACATAATAAAAGAACTAATCCAAAGTGGCTTTTTAGTAAGAGATGGACATGGTGCTGGATAGCCTTCTGTTGTGAATGCTGACGTTGCAATTTTGAAAATGATAATTCAAGAGCTTACCATTTGTTGACTCAGTGAAATGTGGCCCTTTGATGTTTGGGCATGAAATTTTAAGAAGCAGGATACCTTCCTTCTGAATGTTCCTACAGATATGTGAGCATATTTATATTTGAGCATCTTATTAAACATTCCTCATGTGCCTGGAACAGTAGAACTTTTCTTTGATATAAAGATACTTCCAAGTTACTGGAAAGTAGATATTAATCTATATTACACTAAACTGGCTCTATACTAATTTTATTACTGATTATCTTTTTAGGAGGGGAGAGTAGTATAGAGCTGTATATGGGTAGCATTTATTCTAGTCCTTAAACCTTGATATAATGATATGGGGTTCTTCTCAACTGGGTTCTTCTCAAAGCTCATATCTACACATGGATAGGGCTTTGAGAAGTATCTATTTCATGTACTTTGGATTGTGCAAAAATAATTAAAATACTTTAAATTTAAAAATTCTAAAATAAAAATACTAATAGCATATTTTAAACTAGGTAAGCCATACAGTATGTAGTTGGCACAGAGAACCCTATGTATAAATAGTTTAGGGAGGCTAAAGCAATTAGAACAGTGTAATAACAATGTTGTCATTAGATAAGCAGAGCTGGAAGGGATCTTGTAGGTTATCTAGTCCAACTACCCACCCAAGCAGGAGACCCTACACCATTTCTGATGAATGGCAGTCCAATCTCTTCTTGAAAGCCTCCAGTGATGAAGGTCTCACAACTTCCGAAGGCAAGCTGTTCCATTGGTTGATTATTTCCAATGGCTACGTTTCCAATGGCTATGGGAAACAATAACAATAGCAAATAGTTTAGGAGGCATTATCATTAGATAATGATAAACAAATATACAGTAAAAAGAAAAAAAAGAATATGCCAGCCTAGGATTCCAAGCAACACAATACCACATTAATATGTGTGTGTACGTGTACGTGTGTGTGTATACAAGTGTTTCTTTGAGTATAATACAATTTTTGAGTAAGTCTTAGCTTGTGAAGATTTAGATTTCAATAACCATATTCTTTGATAAATGAGATGATTTACTGTAGGTTTTGGAATTCAATTTTGTTTTCCTTCAGCATTCATAGGCCTATTATCTTATAACAGCTTTTAGAAAGAAAAATTAAGCTGACTATAATTCTTTTTCTTTTAAAACTCCCCGGCTAATCTTATGGTTCATTGATTTGGCATAATCAAGTATCTCTGAGATATAATGGAGCATCACTGATTTATTCCAAAAGGAGTATTTCACTGAAGAGCTAAGCATTACTTTATATGCATATTTGCAATTTGCTGCATTATCCATATCTCTTTTTCCACCTTAGGCAAAAGCTAATTATGAAAAAGATGAAAGACGCAAGGAACTGAAGCGATTGCGAGGGGAAGATACTTGGATGCTGAATGATGTGAATGAGCGTTTAGAAGAAATGAAAAAGGTAAGGCTTGTGATATCATCTAATAAATATTTGCAATGAGCAATGTATTAATGACTGTGGGCAAGCCATGTTTTAAAAGTCACTGCTGATAATGCCATTGCAATCATTTTAAATTTGTGAATAAGCAAAAGATTTGGCCACTTGTTTCCATTCTAGTTATGCTGAACAGGTAACAGTAATTTAAAAATAATATCGAAATATTGTTTAATTCAATTAAAAACAGATGAAATATTACGTGATGCAGAAATGACTGCATTGCATTGCTAGTATCATTGCCAACATACTTTTAATTCGTCATCTTTCTGTAATCGTGGGAGGGAAAAATCCTCTGAGGAAAACTTAAGAATCCAGGAGGACTAGCTGTTAAGTAGTTTAAATATATGCTCATAAAATTTCAGTTTTAATTTAATGAATTTATAGAAAAAGCAAAATGAGGCAAGTGCTTCAAAATGTGATAATAGGCAGTGCAGGCCAAATTCAATCAAAGTCCCAGGAAACCAATTTTCTGCTGGGTTAGTAAAAAATAAATAGTTTTTGGAAAGAAATTTGAATGAATTTAAAAACAAATTCTGGAACATAAAAGCAAATAGAAGAAATAATTGTGAAATGTTGAACTGATGTTCAGCATAGATAATGACAACATAATTATTACATGTTGTTATTAAGGCATTGTACAAAATAACTCTTGCCACCGATACTTACAAATAATCCAAATAAGATTAGCTTTGAACCTAGTGAACAAATATTAGCACTAAAGGATCAACACAATCCAGTTGAAACAATAAACTGGGGATACTGCAGAGGATATTTACCTAATGGTTTAACAAAGGTATTAATCTGCAATAGTCAACTATCAGATGCTCCTCTACACCATTAATTAAATTAAAAATATTTTAATACCCTTTTAAAAAGTTATCAAATTTCTATAGAGATATAAAGAAAGAAGAGCCACTGGCAATATCCTGAAAGGCCTGGAACTCACAGTCACCCAGGAATGAGAAACTGAAAGAAGAGTGAGAATTAGAGGAATGTAAAAAATGAACAAAAGGATAGGTGAATATTGGGAAATTTATTAAGTACACCTACCAATTAGGATCCAGTGAGGAGCCTTGCACTATACTGAAATATGAGAATAAGGTGAAAAGATTGGAATAGCCAAGATAAACTGTTCTGGAGTAAGTTCAGAGGAAGGAGAAAAAAATTAGAATCTGTTAAAATAATGTAGACATGGGACAACTAAGACATACACCTAAATAGCATCTCCTCTGCAAGGAAGCCCAGAACACGAATTAAGTAATGACTAGAAGTGGCAGTTGTGGCTAGGTTGACCTTGGTCAGTTTCAGATTGTATTTCCAGTTGTTCCCATTCACTTTCAATCACTCATAGACTGATCACTTCCAGAATGGATTAGTGCAATGCTATACCATAATGTTAAAATACTATAAGGGGCTGCCCTTGAAGAGCATCTAGAACCCATAATTGGTTCAAAATGCAGTGGTGTGGGTATGCCAAAGAATATGCAAAATCCAATACTGTAGCAGATCTCATGTCTTAATATAGTGGAGCTTGCCACTGGCTGCATAGTATAAAATTCTATCTGTTTATCTTAATGTAGAGCTGGTATTGTCTTCAAGTCAAACTTGTCTCTTAGTGTCTGCCTGGACAAGTCCCTGCAGTTTTCTTGGCAAGATTTCAGAAATATCTTGCCATTGCTGACTTCCTTGGGGTAAGAGAGAGGGAATGACCCAAGGTGAGCCAACTGGCTTTGTGCCTAGAAGGGGACTAGAGCTCATGCTCTCCCAGTTTCAAGCTTAATGCTTTAACCACTACACGAAACTGGCTCCTAATGGGAGTCTAAAATGGTAATACTCCCTCCCAAATAATCAAGCAACAAAAATACAATTAAAAGCAAATTTAATAAATATATAAGAATCCAGGCATCTTTTAACAACTCATCCAAAGCACTCGCATATCAGGCTCCTGGCCTTAGTGCAGAGGTGTCAAACTCAAGGCCTGCAGACCAAATCCGGCCCACAGGGTGCTTAGATCTGGCCCATGGGGCTCCCCTGGAAACAGTGAACAACTAGCCCTTCCCTGGGGCTTCCCTGGAAACAGTGAAGCCCGCAGTGCCTCTGCCAGCGAAAACAGAATTCAGGAGGCCACGTGTGGCCCTTCCGAGCTCTGTTTTGGCTGTGACGGCCTCCTGCAACCCTTTGTCAGCAAAAACGGAGCTCGGGAGGGCCACACTAGGGCCTTGTGAGCTCTGTTTTTACTGGCAGAGCGTTCAGGCCACAACAGGCATCCCTGACACAAGTGACGTTCAACTGGCCATGCCCCCCCTGGACCCCCAAGGTCAAACACAACCCTCATGTGGCCCTCAATGAAATTGAATTTTCACACCACTGCTTTAGACCCTGGCCTTAGCATCTAAAAGAAAAAACAGGGTTGAGAGTTTCTGGATCACAGGGGAGATTTTTCCAAAGGGTGAGCAACTATTCTAGACTTATTTGGCCTCTCAGTGGCTTTTCATACCATTGCTTCTTAGTATTGTCCTCCTATGCCACCTGTGGGGTTGAGGAATATTATTCTTGGTAGTTCTAATCAGTGCTGGTGGGGGGGAAGCGAGGTTGGCTTGATGGTCCCTGATTTGTGGGTAGCTTTAGAGATTGGCCATGTTTCCCCTGCTTTTTAATCATTTGTATGAAAATGTCTGGAGAGATCATTTGATAGTTCAGAATTTAATATCATTAATATGCTGAAGATACCTAGTTGGATATCTTACGTTGAGTCATGAAGGAGATGGTATCAGCATCTTTTCCTGACACTTAAAGGCTAAAACAGGTAGATGCTGATTCCACCAAATTTATTCCTTAATGGACAAGTACTGCTTTTCAGAGACTAAGCCTCCAGCTTGGGGAACATTCTGGACTTACAGCTCATCCTGGGTCAGCAGGTAAAAATCATGGCTGGGGGAGCAGGGGGGCTATTCCCATCCTCATATGGTCCACCTGGGACAAGAGAACCTGGTTACTGTCCTTTTTACCACCCAGTTGGACTATTGCAATGAACTCTACTTGTGTTCCAAAGGTGCTTTTTTCAGGAGGACTTTGTTGTTTTTTTCTTTTGAAGGCATTTTGCTTCTCATCCAAGCTTCTCATCCAGAGCTTCTTCAGCTCTGACAGGATAGTGGGGAATGGAAGGATTTATATTCTTTGCAGACATTTGCATCCTTTTAGAGGGTCATTGAGGCACTTGGAGGTTTATCTGTGTCCTCAGGGTCATCTGAGTAGTGCTCCTTACCTGTAGTCTGCAATTTTTTCAAAGTTTTTCAAAGCTGTCTTTAAGGATTATAAATCAATTCCCCACTATCCTGTCAGAGGTGAAGAAGCTTCTGGAATGAGAAGCAATACGTCTCCAAAAGAAAAAAAACAGAAAGTCCAGTTGCCTCCTGAAAAAGCACCTTTGGGACAAGCATGACCTGGATGACTGAGAATCTCTATAGACTTTTCGCTCTACTTGTGGTTACCCATAAAGAGTATTTGGAAAGTAAAGTTGGTCCAGATGCATCAGCCTATTATGTACTTTCTTGGTGTTGGGAGGATATAACACCATGATGGAGTATAAAAATATGGGGTAAATCAATACCCAGTCAAATCAGATTATCACTAATACAGAAAAGATATTTACAGTAATTTGAGTTTGTACCTTTTTGGTCATTGAATCAACAGCGGTGATGCCAACTGAAGAAGGGACATGTTGCTTAGTCAAGTAAAATTTCACTAGGTTAGCAATAATAATAATTGTAGCTTTGTAAAATCAACTTTGTTATTGTAGTATACATCTTTTATATGTATGTTTCTAACACATGCTAAGTAATGTATCTTTCTATCAAGAAGCTTTGGGTGTGATATATAATACAATAAACCATTAAGCAAAGTATCCTGGGATGTTTTTAGCAAGGTGGTGATTTTAAAATGATAAAACACTGTGTAATTTCCTAATTTTAGTTAACGTGGCTTGTCAGATTATACAAATGTTGCTTTTTGTAGGAACATGCTGTTACAAAGAAGAAGCATTCAAAAAAACATAAAAGGGAAAAGAAGAAAAAGACTAAAAGAGAAAAAACAGATGATTCACCTGATACTAGCTCTGTAAGTTTTAAAATCCAAGTTGCCAGCTGAGAGAAAGCTTTTTGTTATCTATATTAGTGACTAGCTCTATACCAGTGCTTTGCTACAAAACTTTGGATCGGGCTTAGTTTTTGGGGAAGAAAATAAGGGGAGAAATATTCTGCCTCTGCCTACCAGCATCCATCAGTATTCATCTGGCTAGCGTCCTGTCAGTGTGTGAGAGTTGAGGGCTGTTTGGAAACTGAAATATGGAAACTGAAACAGTATTTGCTGTGTGAGCAAGAAGGAGACAGCAAAGAGCCTGGGTGTGGCTTAGCTCAACTGTTCTGTAGTAAAACTGGTTGCTACTGTGAAACTGAAACTGAAACTCCTCTCCTCTGCTTGTGTTTTGCATTTGGAAGAGATTTCTTTTCAGGTGGGGAGTGGGAGTAGAACTCCTTAGCATTAGAACTTGTTAATAATAATATAGGAAATACTAATGCTCTGATAGTCATTTTGAAAAATCCTTTCTTAGTGAGCACCTAGAAGCCAAGAGGAACATACATGCCAAATTTCAAGTTTAGGCTTTACAGTTCTGAAGATTTTGTGATGACGCACGAGTGCTTTTTCACTTTTATATATATATGTGTGTGTGTATGTATATGTATATATGTATATATTATATACTTAGGCCTCAGTTTGATCAATATCCTGCAATTTAATTTAATTTAATTTAATTTAATAGGCTATTTTTTTTAAAAAATGATAAGGATGCAAATAGATGGTCAGGGGAAGAAAATTCCACCTATATTAAGAAAGTGGGCTGAACAGATAGTGAAATGAACATTCATTTTGAAGCATACTTCTGATGTAACATGGAAGAAATAGAAAGCTCATTGTAGAAAGAGCCAGATTTCAACTGCTGGGTCTTTTCTCATAGTGCTATATGCATTCAGTATGGGTAATAATGCATCATTAGACACAGTATACAGAATGTTGGCCTGCTTGAAAGGTTAAATATGAACTTGTTTGTCATGTTATTGCTTCTACTGATGCTGTTCTTTGCAATACTTGACAGCAATGTTATTTGGACTCTATTCTACATTATTACTAGATATGCTCTGCACAATTTTACAAATTTAGCTTAAGATTCTTCAATGGTAGAAAATCTCACAGCCTTCTATAATATAGTAACCTTCAGATAATATCGGATTTCAAGTCCCTGAGGCGCAATTGGATTAGCTGGTTTGATTACAAAGCAGTGTTTTATATCTGGTGGCTGCATGCTTTTTCTTAAACTATAGATCTGCTTATGATCAAGGTCGATTATTTCACTAGAAGGAAGTACCATTAACAATACTGTTGTCTGCACTTTGCTTCGGTTTTTCTTCTAATTGTGTTGTTATGCATAGCCTATATTGTTGCTTCTTCTCATCATTCCCACTAGTTCTGCTGATTGCGTGACTTCCAGCTGTGAAAATGTGTTGGCTTTATTTTAGCATTTTAAGTGGTCATTTATAACAAGGAAGGCTGCAAACGTAATTCCTTTGAAAAGTCTTTTGAGAGTTAACAACCCGTCTTTTTATGTAGCGCTGTATTATTAATAATAGTACCCAAGTGAACAAATTGATGGCCTATTTTCAGTGGGGAAAAGTGACTGTAATAAATATCAGCTGTACTTAGTTACTTTTTATCTGATTGCCCAACTCTTATAAATACATTTAAAGAGCTGCAGTCGCCAATAAAACTATTATAATCTTATAATAGTCCCTTTATTCTCTCTTTCTGAATAGCTAAGATAACTCTCTTAGTCATATAGAAAAGGAAATAGGTTTTTAAATGACTTTTATATTGTTTCATTGAGCTTAAAAGGCCTCTACAATCCTCTAAAACACATATGATTATTTGAAAATGTGTTCTTAGGGTTCCTCAGAAGAATGGGTGGAAGCGCCTGTTGCACAGTCTTCTAGCACTGTGCAGGCTTGGAAGGAGAAGAAAGAAGAATCAGAAGAAACTGTGGAAAACCCTACATCAATTCAGGTTAGCATCCTTTTTGTAGATGGAAATTGTGTTTAACATTTGAGGAAAGAAGTCGGCAATCAGTAGAGAAATGTCAAACTAGTTGCAGGGCCAGGGATTCTTGTTTTTCCTTGGACAGGGAATATTTTTTTAAGAAACGATGCTAATCCTACTTTAAGATTTATCCTACAACTTTTGTGTGATAATGCCTCAAGAGGATTCAGTTGGCTCCATCCCTTCTGAGATTTTGGAAAGCTTTAAAAATGTGGCTCTTTTCCTGGATACAGAGGTTGAGAGGTTAATTTGATCTGTGTGACTGAGGTATCCTCTGTAAACAATTTATGCCATTCTTGGTTGTCACTATTTATGTCTATTACTATTGATTGTAGTTGTGTTTTTAACATTAAGTTAGCTTCCCAGAGTTGCCCTTGTGCTCAAGTGATGATCATATAAATTGATTGAAATAAACAAAACAATAAGAGACAGGCAATCATTTCTATGATTTCTTTCCCCACAATTGCGGTTGAAAGTTCAACATTGATTACAAACAAAAACTACCAGTCCAGGGACAGAGAGTTTCAAACTTCCCTGGAGTAGTGATACATAATTTTTAAAGCCTAGAATGCAGATCCTAATGTTCTATAAGGATAGTTGGTAGATTTCCATCAAGTGCTAAGTTCAGCAACAGAGTGGTCAATGTCTGGAATACTCTACCCGACTCTGTGGTTTCTTCCCCAAACCCCCAAAACTTTAACCTTAGACTGTCTACTGTTGACCTCACCCCTTTCCTAAGAAGTCTGTAGGGGGCGTGCATAAGTGCACCAACGTGCCTACCGTCCCTGTCCTATTGTTTCTTTTATATATTTTTTGTTCTTATATGTATCCATGTATTCATAACTATGTTTTTACTTATACCTATTATCTTGTAAGCAATTGACAAATAAAAATAAATAAAATAATAATAAATAAAATAAGTTCTAATTTTTTAAAACCAGAAAGTGGTTCATGGTATTCTGGGCATTGGCATATTCAGGAAGGAAAAAAATAGAGTGCTTCAGAAAACACCAGGAAATTCCATCCTTGATTTTTCTTTGTGAAGTGCTAGGGTTACAGTGGCAATCAGGACTGCTAGGACAGTCATCACTAAGCAATGCGGTCACGTGTCATAGCTCTTTATGATTGAATCATAATCCCAATTGTTGTTGTAGCCCGATGGTTACTTACATTTCTTGTAATTAATACAGTTTTATATTTTGTTTCTTGAACTGCCGAAGAAAAAAGTTGTGGAAAGTATATGTGATAGTGTCTGGTTAGAAATGAGAAGAAAACTCCTACTATGTGAAGAAAAGCAAGCGATTCACCAAAATTTGGAATGAATTAGTTGGTTTCTGAATATAGGAAATATGAAACAGATAATGTTCTCTGATTTTATCACAGTGATTTTTTTATTTTAAGAGCATAGATATAATTTCCCCCATCCCACTGTTATGCTGACAGGAATAAAAATAAGTGTAATGAAGTTTTTAAAATTTTTCAATATGCACTGAAAATATGAGAAAGAGAGAGAGAGAGAGAGAGAGAGAGAGAATGAATCTGTTAGTAAATGTTTTCCTAGAGTAAGTAAAAGAGCTAAATTTGAAAAGTGCAGTAAAACCGCAATTCCTGAGGGCATGAAGATAGCATTATGCAGACATGCTTTTCAGACTTGAAAAGGGCAAAGAGCAAACATTTTACATTGAACAATAGGCAAGTATTTTGAAAATGAGGATTCCACCATTTGAGATTCTTCTTCCACAGTGGCAGAAGCATATGGGGAAGCCGTCAGCAATTCAGTGTAGAGGTGGATTTTTAAAAACAATATTTTATTTCTGGCTTCTTTTCAGGAATGACTTGGGGTTAGTAACACATCTTAAAACATTAGTAAAATCAGCTGTAAGCCTAAATTAATATGCTTACCAACCATTTTTTTATTAGCTTATCCCTTTAAGAAGTACTGTTCATAAAACATATTTACAGGGCTTTTGGGAAAATTTAAGGCTGACTCTTTTCCTGTAAAAGAAATATTTTTCATCAGTGCTGTGCTTGACTGCCCTTGCAGGATTTCTGAAGGCAAGAGTACCTGTATGGCTTGGCCAAAAGTGTAAATAGGTTGAGTTCATTTCAAAGCATTGCATGAATTGCTGATATTATAATGCTTTAATGTTTATTGTGGGTTGTGGTTGTCAACTATTTTAATACTTTTGAGAATGGGAATTATCAATTATAATAATGAGGGCAGATCTTTTAATTATTCTCTTCCTCTGGGTCATGAATATTTTCTCATATTTTTATTTCCAATGGTTCTGGCAAATTGTTTTTCTTGAAAGCCTTTCAACTTGACGTGCAAATTTAAACCCTTTCAACCCTTGATGTGCAAATACTATTCAGAATATCCAAACTGGGCCACAAACAAATGTGTACGTTTACTGAATTCATCTTAGCAGTTCATCTGATACTTGGACAGTTTGAGCAGCTAAATAATGCACCTGACTTATGATGCCCAGTTGAATAAAGCAGATAAATGAAATTGTGTGCATTGCATACCACCAATGTTCCAGCATCTTGTAAAATTGTCAAAATATGAGATTCTTAACAGAGGAAAAAATTTCCGAAGGGTCATATACATTTGCATTATATTCCTATTCTCACATGATCTATTGTCATTACTTAAAATGCATTCTTTAAAACATATGTATGGAATTAGAAAAAATGATGGATGGGCTAGGCTTATGAATTGCCGTAAGATTGTTAAATGGAAATTATTCTATTTTTAATGTCTTCAAAACACCCGTCAACTTTCTTTATTCCACAGCCTGTAATTTCATCTTTTCTGTCATTTATCTCAAAAGTAAGCTGTTGCTGAGTTTGGATCTTTTTTAATAAGAAAAAAAAATATGTGTTTCTTTTTTCATAGAGGGATGAATGGATGACCTTAGATTTTATGTCTGTGAAAACAGTGTCTTCGGCATCACTGAGGGCTGAAAAGCAGAAAGAAAAAATATTGAAGCAGCAGAAAGCACAGGAAAATGAACAGGTAGGTTTGGTTACTAATTGATTAAAAGATTACAAGGAACTAGCCAATAGCCAGAATGTGAATTTCTTCAGTTATCAGATATTAATTTGTGGATTCAATTCTCCTGAGAGCCAATTCAGGTTTCCATGCTCGCTTTATAATATATGTGTAGCCATAGGGCATTCCATCCAGCAGTAATAAGTATTCTGCTTGTCTGGATGATTCTTGCCAAAAAATGAAAATAAAATCCTAGGAGCAAATGAAGCCATAGCTTTTGTGATGTATATGAATTAGAAAAACAGAATGATTTAAATATAAATAAAAGTAACATTAAATAAATTACTTTGCAAACAAAACGCAAGAGCCTTCGCTGAATTTTAATTTGACTGTTTTGGCAGGTAATAATTGGTTCCCTGTTTGTTTTTAAACTAAAAAGCTTGAATTATTTTATTGCTGGTTACAAGCCCAGTGTTGAATTGTGGTTTCTTACTTTTAACTGTATTTTAATTATTCATTATATTAATGGGTGGAATGCCTTATGACTACACATATATAACAAATAATGCTTTTCTGTTAATAATCAACTTATGCCATTGTTGTCAAACTAATTTTTTCCCCTATTTTTGATGTAAAATCGGTTGATTATTTATTAGCTGAAACGAATTAAAGTTTTGGGATACTTTCAATCTTTGAGTACAAAATTAGCAACAGCAGTAGCATTTTAGACTTGTATACCACCCCATAGTGCTTTACAGCAGTCTCTGGGTGGTTTACAATAGTTGCTTATTGCCTCCAACAATCTGGCTCTTCATTTTACTGACCTCGGAAGGATGGAAGGCTGACTTAACCTTGAATCCCATCAGGATCGAACTCCAGGCTAAGGGCAGAGTTTGCCTGCCACAGTGACTTTAACCGCTGCACTATGTTAAAAAATATAACACAGAACAATAGGATTGGAAGGAATTTTGGAGAGCAATCCCTGTTCAAGCAGGAGACCTATGCCATTCCAGACAAATGGCTGCCCAGCATCTTCTTGAAAACCTCCAGTGATGGGGCACCCACAACTTCTGTTCCGCTGATTAATTGTTCTCACTGTTGGGAAATTCCTCCTTAATTCTAGGCTGGATCTCTCTTTGTTAATCTTCCACCTATTACTTGTCTTGCCCACAGGAGAATAGGTTGACTCCTTCTTGTCTGTGACAGCTCCTCGAATTCTGGAAGACTTATAATATCACCCTAGTCCGTTTTTTGTTTGTTTGTTAAACTAGACATACCTTGTAGCGCAATTGTTCTTCGTATGATTGTAGAGGTAAAGTAAATTGGATGAGGCAGGAATGGTACTTTCATGAAACTATTAACTATGCAACTTTTGGGTTTTTTTTTGAATTGCCAAATAGTTGCTGCTTGCAGAAAGAGAACTGAACCCATATTGGAAAGATGGTGGTACAGGCTTACCAACAGAAATAGCAACATCAGTAAAAGGTAATATTGTTCTATAAATTTTGACTGACACTCTCTTTCTCCCTCTCTCTCTCTCTCTCTCTCTCTCTCTCTCTCTCTCTCTCTCTCTCTCTCTCTCTCTCACACACACACACACACACACACACACACACACACACACACACACATCTTCATTGCTATGTTGATGCTAAAATAAAATATAATTAATATTAGTTGGTCATGATTACCTTCATTAAAATTGTACCTCATAACCGCAGAATATTTTAACTCATTTCTTTTTCTTCTAATCTTTAGAGCTTGACCTTCAGAATGTTCAGAATCCATCATGAACTAATTAAAAAAAAAGGCAGATTGTACTCAGACATGATGAATTGTTATCATCTCATTTGGCCGTTTCATTCCATTATACAAATTGCAGCTTTAAAATATTCAGGGGCTGAACTTTGTGAATCCTATTTTAAATAAAGTACACCAGGGCTACTATCGGGCAGAATATTATTGATGTAACCCTTCCTCTGGAAAGAGCAAATACAAGGGTGTGGGTGTGCACCCGCCCTCATGTGTACAATAGTATTTATAAAATTACGCAAACTCTGTGGTGTGCTAAATGGTAGAGATGTTTGCTGAATGGCAAATAGTGATACAGGATGGAAAAAGCCTAATTTCACAATGTTTACAGCTCAAGTTACTTAAATGTTAAAGTGCCGAAAGAAAGAAATACTGAAATTGCATGTGTCAAGAGTTGAACTTTATATGTTTAGATGTCTAAATAAAAATTCATTATAACATGAAAGGACCCTAAGTTTTATTTTATTACAACTACCTTCCTTGCTGAGTTCTTTTTCTCATGCATTTCCATTATATGTTCCTAGTTATTCAAGTTAAAAACGCAATAATATTGTCCCCCTGTAGTTACCCACTTAATATGCTACAAAAGTGGCTAGTTACAAGTTACCAAATCCATTGCTTCCACTGTCTCTCTGTCACCTTCAAGAGTAGACTAATTTTTAAAGACTATTAGGTAGACTGGTTTTCAAATGCATGTAAGAACATGAACACAAATGGGATAAATGTACTATTGTTAAGAATCTGACTGGATTAACATGTTGCAATGGAAACATACCATATGCAGTTAGCACTAAGATTATTTAGCTAATTGTATTATATTTCAGAATGCAAATACTGTAATTTACTGTCATTATTCTGTAGCAACAACAGTAGAAGATGGTGGGTTAAGCTGGCTAAGGAAATCCTACCAGAGAATGAAGGAGCAGTCTGAGAGAGAAAAACGAGACTTGGAAGAAATTATAGCTGAAAGATATGGGGTAAGTGCTGAGGGGGTGATAATAGTGAAAATATTTGTGCAGGATAGAAAAAAATGACGTTTCTCAATAAAGTATTAATAAAACAATGTCTTAAATAACACATAGATGAATAAAAATGTGCTTCATTATTTGGGATGGTCAGTGTTGCCTCACAAATACCAAAATAACAAAGAATAAGACCTTAAAATGAACTTTATGCATGCCTAATACAGGTAGTTCTCAGCTTATAACAGTTCATTTAGTGACCATTCCTTTAGTGACTTATGACCATTTTTCACACTTAACGACCATTGCAGCATCCCCATGGTCACACGATCAAAATCCAGATGCTTCACAACTGGTTCATTTTTATGATGGTTGCAGTGTCCTGTGATCAGCTTTTGTGACTTTCTGACAAGCAAAGTCATTGAGGATGCCAGATTCACTTAACAATCGCATTACTAACTTGACAACTGCAGTGATTCACTTAACAACTGTGGCAACAAAGATTGTAAAATGGGGCAAAACAAATATTTCTGTCAGCAACCGGCTCAGTTGTGGTTGTAACTCAAGAGCTACTTGTACTCTTCTTCCTGAGATCCTACAGGGCCTTACCTTTCTAGCCTTCTGAAATACCTTGAAGATCTGGCTTTATTTCCAATCATTGAGGCAGTGTAAGGTTAGATATGCCTCTTCATTTCTACCTGTTTTTTAAGTTTTGGCACAATTGACATGTTCCTGCAGCTAAGATTGGATATTTAATTTGATAGTTGTAGGTATTTTCCATGACATGGTGTTCAATGCTGTTATTATGGTTTTTCTCTTTGATTTTTAAAAGATATTTATTTATTTTATGTCATCTAGAATTTCTTGAACGATTGAGCCAGCTCTTAAATTGCGTAAACCAATTCCTCTGTTCAACTATGAGGCTCACTAGAATAAATCTACAAAGGACTAAGTAATTTGACACATAAAAAGAGTTGATTGAAATCCTGAGTTTCTTGGAGGGAACATTTAGGTAAAAATGAAATATTTCATAAGTTTATCACCAGATTTGTGAAACTCAGCGATTTCAAATGATGTTCGTTTCAAAGTTAGTATTACAGGGTTTTTTTTTTTTCATGTGTTTATCTTAATAGTATTTTCTTTATACAAATAATATGTGCTTTTTCCTCTGTCTTGTAGTCATTAGAGCTATTTCAGTCCAAGTTAAGAGAAGCTGAGACAGCTGCAGTCCACAAAGAAAATGATAGAAGGGACTGGCAAAAATGCAAATATTCAGAAAGCAAACGTACTTCAAGGGATGATAAAGAGAAGCAGGAGGAAAACAACCTAGGAAGGTTTTCACTTAAAGAACAACTTAAAGAGAAGTATGATAAAGTATATTCTGAGGAACCAAAAAATTACAGAGGAAACGAACAGACAGAAACCAAAAAATCAAGGCCAAGTAATAAAGAATTTACAGCAGCAAACTGGACTGGTACAACCAGAAAAGATCATCATCAATTAAATCATTATGAGAAGCCTTTCTCAAGCTCTGTGAAAGCTGCATTTCTGAAACCTAGCAATGATGGTAATGAAGGAGGCAGACAGCAGAGAATGTCATCCCAATTATCGACTCCTCATTTTATGAGCTCCGGTTTCCGGAAACCTGTTTATGATGCTGACGTGACCCCAAGATGGCGCAAAGCACAACCTAAGGATGAAATTGGAAAAGTAACTTCAAATGAAAAATCTCCCGAAATGAATAAGGCTGTTACCAGCAAGGAGGAAGAGCCAAAAGAGAAAGGAGAACAGATCTCAGAACCTGCAGTGGAAGAAAAGGAGCTAGTAGACAATAAACCATCATGCTCCAGGTATTTAGATATCTTCTTGTTTTGAAGGAGAGGATGGCTTTATAGTTGCATGATTGCTTTATTGTCACATTTTAAATTTATCTAAATATACACATACTACTTGATATCCGTGCTTTGCTACGAAACTATGTGGTTGGGCTTAGGTTTTGGGGAGGAAAATAAGGGGGGAAAATTCTGCCTCTGCCTACCAGCATCCATGGTATTCATCTGGCTAGCATCATGTCAGTGTGTGATGGGCTGTTTGGAAAGTGAAACAGTATTTGATATGTGAGCAAGAAGGAGACAGCAAGGAGCCTGGGTGTGGCTTAACTCAACTGTTCTGTACTAAAGCTGCTTGGTGCTGTGAAACTAAAAAACTCCTCTCCTCTGCTTGTGTTTTGCATTTGGAAGAGATTTCTTTTCAGTTGGGGAGGAGAAGTAGAAGTCCTTAGCATCAGAGTGTGTTAATAATAATATAGGAAATACTAATGCTCTGATGGTCATTTTGAAAAATCCTTTCTTAGTGAGAACCTAGAAGCCATATTTGCCAAATTTCAAGTTTGTAGGCTTTACAGTTCTGGAGATTTTGTGATGATGCATGTGTGGTATTTTGCATAGATAGATAGATAGATAGATAGATAGATAGATAGATAGATAGATAGATAGATAGATGATAGACAGACAGACAGATAGATAATTAAGATATGCTTGGAATTTTGGAATCGTACCATGGGCATCCTCATAAAATGGCAACCATGGGCAACTTGAATGTTCAAAAAATGTTACTTTTTTTTACTTAAAGTCAAGCCAGAGAAATTACTGCCCAGCGTAATTTTTAATTCTAAGAAAATTGGCTTGTTTTCTTGCATCTTTGTTTTAATGACAGTGCCTTGTTAATGACTAATGCCTTGTTTTAATGATCAAGGGTATTCTTTTTAACAATTGCAGTGGAAATGAGGTTGTAAATCCATTGTGAATCAGTGATGTCTCATTTAATGACTGTATCGCTTAGCGATGGAGTTGTCGCTCCTAATTGTTGTTGTTAAATGAGGAATACTTGTAATAGGCTCTGAACTGGAAATTTGTATAGATACTTCATCCTACATGCAGTATATATCCACTACAAATGATTTACAATGCTACAAAAATAAAGAACACCTGGGATAATTCTATAATAATTTATGGATGACTAAATGCAAGGAAACAGTTTACTTTGTTAAACAAATATAAACTCTAGTTACTTTCTATGAGATATGTGTCATGCAGTATGAGAGTGTCTTTTTAAGAGAAGATGGCTTGATTTTCTTAGTAATATGTAAAATATATTTTGTTTAGTAGGTTTTAAGTTTTAGATTTTATTATGGTTTCATGCTAATCTTGAATGCTGCACTGTTTCTTATTAAAAAATACAGTATAGAAACTAATGAATGACTAGGTTATGTAAGTAAAAAATAATTCCTGTCATTCAGATGTCAAGGCTACAACTTCCTCATCTGTCATTTGTTTACACAAGCTGGTAAGGATAGCATTTGCATTCAGTGACATCTAGAAAATACAGTTTCCCAAATTTATTAATGGAATATAGTTTGCAGAATAAAGAAGATGGAGTACTGCAACAAAATCTCGCATGATTGCATATTTCCTGAGGCTGTGGCAGAGATCGTGTAAACTTTTAAAATTAGCATTAAAACTAGGAAAACTGACTCTAATTTAAGATTTCAAGTAACGTAGCAAATGTTCTCAACAAATTTTTAAAGTTTTTTTTTTTTACATATATTTAAAAGGGGATAAGGCCTGATGTAAAATACTCAGGGCCTAAGCTGAATTTCCTGAATAGACCTCCCTGCAGGACTGTCATAAGGCACTTTCTCCCACCTAAGTTATCCAGCTGAGACGGTGAATGTCATGTTTTCCTTTTCTCCATGTGTAATAATGCCCTGTGTTTGTATTTGACCAGATCTGTTTCAGAGGATGAGACTCCTCTCATTCTCAGTGATGAAGAAATGAACAAACTGGGAGCCAGGATTGTAAAAGCAGAATTGATGGGAAACAAGGTATGTGACTGATTTTATTAGATTTTTTTTTGTCTTATATTTTAAGATAACTATAATACCACACTTTAAGACTCGTCATTGTATTCATGTTGGAAGCATCAAGGCACTTCTGGGTTAAAAGGATTAGCTGGTGACATTACTGTTGCCCAAGGGTCGCCCAGTTGGGGGCGCCTTTCATGTCCCCATTGTTGAGCCCATCAAAGTGATACCTATTTATCTACTCACATTTGCACTGCTAGAAGGGCAGGACCTAGAGCAAATGACTGGAGCTCAGCCCATCACATAGCAGCACTTGGGTCTTGAACTACGAGCTTGCAGACTGTCAACCCAGCGTCCAAACCATGCGAGTCACATCGCTCCACATTTTTAGACTAATTGTTCAATACTGTTCAAATATTATAGCTCCAAAGTAATAAAAAATTAAATAGGTTTAAGAAAATTTTCTATAAATACTGTATCTTTAGAAGCACCTTTACCCTTGATTTCATAATGTTTGATGTACTGCTGATAAACATTGAGCAGCTGGAATCAAGAGCTTTGGGTAGTTATAATGACACTTCTGTTTACATAGCATCAAACATTTATTTTGCTTGAAAAATTATTCAGAGAATATTTTAGCATCAAACGCATCATACGTTTAAAAAAAATTACATTGTGCAATATTTGTTCTGTTTGAAGGATTTAGCTGCAAAACTTCAGTCTCAGCTTGACAAGGCACGCATGCTAAAGGACAATAGAGCACAAGCTAAAGCTAGAAAAACTGATGAGGTAAGAGGGCTTGCATTATCTTGCATTCATTTTGCATTAGTGCCTTTGGAAACAAAAGATTTAATGACAGGTGTGCAGCATCTAAGGCTGTGACACCGTTAAATATAGTTTCTAGCATTGGCAGAAAATACGTACGAAACAATTTATAGTGTGTGGTAAAATATTAGCCTATGAAGGCAAGCTGTGAAAATAAATTGTTCAGTATCAGTATTAAAATGATGGCATATTTGGTAATTTTAAATAATATAAACATAGAGTTGCTTACCTCTTGTATTTCAGAATGTATATCTTTAGTTTGCCATAAACTTGTATAGAGTCTACATACAAGAATTTTCTCTGATTTCTGTATACATACTGAAAATAATATAGTTACATGATTAATCAAATACATATATGATTATATGATTATACTTATACAGGCTGTAGTCTTGGGAATTAATTTCCTTTTAAAGGTGAATGGACTTTTTGTTTGCCTTAAGCTTACTTCAAGATTCTGAGACCATGTTTCTACCAAAGATCTTGGTTAGTTTCTCAACAAGGTAAAGGTTCCCCTTGCACATGAGTGCTAGTCGTTTCTGGCTCTAGGGGGCGGTGCTCATCTCAGTTACAAAGCCAAATTGCCAGCGCTGTCCGAACGCATCTCTGTGGTCATGTGGCCGGCATGACTAAACGCCGAAGGTGCACGGAACGCTGTTATTCAGTAGTTTTAAATAATTACTTACTTCTGAGAAAATAGAGAGCAAGAGCGGTTTTGCAGTTCTCCTGATGTGATTGTTGATTATATGCAATGGGGATATGGAAGGAAAGTGGCTTCAAGAAGCTATAAAGGGGTGATGTTTTATGTACTTGTTCATAAAAGAACCAGAATTAGGGTTGCTAAGCAAAATTGTTGATTAAAAATCAAATCATTTCAAAAGAAAACAAAAGGAAACAATGAAAATAAAAGGGAACAGTGAAGAATTCCAAAAGGGGCAAAAATAAAAATAATATCCTGACTATGATTCAACGCAAGAAGGCATCCAGTGATGCATTTTAGGGCAAAAAATTTTATCTAACATTATTCCATATATGCTGATGGTGTTTTGCTAGTGGTGATTCCTAAAGAAAGATTTTTCTGGGAATAGCACTTTGCTTTGCGATGTGTCAGCTACCCCCCCCCCACTTCCCCCACCCAAATTTAAAATAACAGTGAGTAAGGTTTATTGTGGAAACCTATTTGTAACAAGGTGTGATTTCAAAGCGGTGGTGATGAGAAATTTGTTAATAACATAACATTTTGAATTTCTATGGAATTTATTCCAGCCATATTTCTTCTCTAGGCAAGATGTTGGGACTTGTACTGACACTAGAATTTTCTGGATGATTTGATAATATCAAGCTGGTTTCCCACCTATGTCTAAGTAGGACTGTGCCTATGTTAAAGGAATAATTATCTTACAACTAGATGATAAGGGAATAAATTTACATCGATATAATTGATGTACTCTTTCTGTCAGAACAGGTATTATAAAAAGGCTTCAGATTTTAGTACTATCATTATGCTGATGGCATCTGGCTTTATTGCTCTTTTTTATTATAGCTGATAAAGCTCTTTAAATCAGAGTTGGTTATGAGTAGTAAATTATAGGAGATGGAAACAAATTAGAGAAGTTCTTGGTCAGTTAATATAGGTAAAGGGATACATATCTCCAATCTAGAGTATATTGTTGGAGTTCATTCTTCCTAAAAAAAACTAATTTGCAGTCTGAACATATTTTTGTATTTGGTATGATAAGCCTAGATATACAGAAATTTCAATCATGGGCAGAGGTTTGCAAACTACAAGAATTGATTTCTGTTATAATGTTAGAATACTTAATAAGATAACAAGAAATCACTTGTAAGATAAAATAATCTATTTCCTTGACAAATGGAATCTAACCCGGTCTTACATAGAGTAATAGCTTCTGGAATTTAAGATATTGTTATAATGATATGTGAGAAACTCCCTCAGAAATGGGTGAAGGGAGGCTCCCTAGGGAATGGTCAGATAAGAGAGGGCATAGATGCTTAATGGTTGGAGAAACAACCATTATGAAAGGACCCTCCCAAACTTCCCAGTTTTAAAAGAAGATGGTAGGAGATTTGTACTTTGAGACTTGCAAGATTGATGTCAGTATATGTAGACCAGATAGAAAATACAACCAGATGAACTAATTCTACTTTCTTGTAAGGTTACCTTAACAGAATCTTGCAAATTTTGGAAATGCAAATTTCCCATTGCCTCCCTTACAGCCCATTATATTTCTCAAGATCTTTCTCACATACCATTTCAGTTGTTAACCTTCAACACTCAGTATTCCTCATTAGTGGCAGAACTGGAGTTCCATGGATTGCATATCCTTATTCAAATTTCAATATCATGCTGTTGGTGTTCACATTTAATATTAATTATGCAATGTTCTGAATGCTTAAATAAAGAAAACTTAAATAGATTAAAAAATGAAGAATTTTTTTTCTTCCAATACATGTCAGAATTCTAATATGAAAACTTCCCTGATGAGGAGTAAGTTAACTCACTTTATAGAATTAGGTAGTTTAATTAAATAAACTACATTGTTCAACAGTGCTGTTCTTCATTTTTATATTAGCATGCAAGTAACAAAAACAGATCTCTTGGCTCCAGTATAATGCCAGACAGTACTTTAATAATTATGTATGAGTTGTAAAGTGGAAATTAACTGAATGAAAAGCCTGAAAAGGAAGAGTTTCTGAAAAATTGAAATTGAATGTAAGAAAATCTGTATTTTCACATTTGAATGCATTCTGTATTTGCATTCTTGTTAAAAGCAGAAAGGGACATATTTGGAAATAAATAAGAGCATAGTCACTTTGAAATCTTAAGAAAATTAGTGGATGTATTGTGTCAGTGACAATATCTTTTAGAGATTTTTGTAAGTGTGGTTTGTATGAGAAATTTTGAAGAGTATATTCTTTTTTCTTTTGTGTTCTGATACATACAGAAGCATTTGATATTTATTTAGACTGTAAATGTTTTACTGCTTTAATTAACTACAAAATGCAGTAACTTCAGGGAATGTATGAGGTTTGATGACAGTTTCATAATAATTTCTGCTCGTTTTTCTCTTCTGCTTTTCACATGAAATTAATGGTTCTTTTTCGGGGAAAAGCATCAGTATATTAAGCAAAAAAGAAAAATGGTGCCATTAAATATAATTACTTGAATTCTGGTAATGTGATCTGAGAAGCTAGGTATTTAGGAAAAAGGGTTGTGGGTTGATTACCTGTAACCCAAATTTAAAAAAAAATAGTCTACCAATATGAATTAATCATTTACTAATTACTTTGAATCTGATTTTACTCACACCTTCATAATACCAGTGAATGTATGAAGTAAATTTATTTAGTTAGAAAACATATATAATTAATCATCTTAAATACATAACTCTGGGCAGCAAATAATAAACAGTATATATTAAACACCTTTATGCTCTGATTAAGCAAACACATTGTAGTTAAGTGCTTTGATAAAAACTGTATACTTAGAAAGCAAAGGATTGGGTGCTTCTGTGCCAATTTCCAGGTTTTAAAACTTGCTAAAATATCACCCTACTATGTTTATCAGTTATATGCATACGATATTCCACACCAATTAGTTAAACTTCAGCCGTTCTACTTTTAGAAGCTTCAAATGCAGTAGATATAATATCAACTATTTTTTTCATATAAGTCAACAATTACTGCTGTTGAACATTTTTTTCATATTGGAAAGAAGTGACAGGAACTATTTCAAAGTTAAGCATATTGCAAGGTTCTCAAAGTTGTTTTAGGCAGTGCATATTAAATCTACACCCCAAATTGAAAAGTATAATTGTGAGTGTAAATAGAAACACCAGGCAAGAAAGAACAGCAAATGAGAAAGTCATCAAATTTCATGTGTTGCCAAATTTCTCTTTGAGATAAGACCTAAGAATTTGAATTTTTATGGATTTTGGTCCCTTTCCAGAGTGTTTTTAGGACCAAGTATGTACCATGAATATAAGTAAATGATGATGTACTTCATAAACTATGGCACTTCAAAGAACATATATAATAATCATTCACTCAAAAGATATGTTAGATTTAGAAATATACATGGGACAGTAGAAGTCAAGGAAAATGGAGGTACAATGATTCAAAATCATCTTTAAAATGGTAAGTTTGGGATTTAGTTCTTGGTACCATGGATACCAACAAAAAAGAGAACTTATTTCAGAACAGCAAACCTTAAAAGACCTTTTGCAAACAGCCAGTAAAAAGGTGGTGTTTGTTTACTCTAAGGATAGATTATGTGTGGTGTAGCAGAAGATGGATTTACTTCAAATAATAATGTATGAATGCATTAAAAAATGGAACCAAAACCCTTAATACAAATATTATTTTAATATTGAAGGAAGAAATAAAGAATGGTTAATCTGTGCAAGTCATTTTTTTCAGCGCTTTCATTGACCAACTGTATCTTTAATTTAATCCCTTTAAATCTGATCTGGTTGGTACTCTGTGAATAGGTACCCTGTTTCTCCAACAATAGGGCCTCCCCCAATAGGAAGTCCCAGCATGTTTTATAGGCATGAAATGAAATTAAGCCCCTCCCCCAAACTAAGGCCTACATTAAAACATGCGAAATGGGGGGGGGAATGGTGGGGGGGCTTGCCGTTAGGAAGTACTTTTGTTGCACACCCGGATATGGTGCTGCCTGCGTTGACCCCGATACGAAGTGCCCCACCAACGCCGAGGTCAACATCCAAGCCGTCACCGCCCGCCCGAAGATGCAAGGGAGGGGAATTAAGTCACCCCCGAAAAGATGGCCTAGCCATTTTGGGGGGGCTCAAAAAAAAAAAAAGACCCAGCCTTATTATATGAGAAACATGGTATCTCTTTGCATGGAATTAATTGGTTCATTCAGATCACAGATAATGAACAGAAACTGCCAAATTATGTGAGTTCCTGATGAAAATGAG